TTTTTTTTTTTTTTTTTTTTTTTTGCTTAAAAAAAGTGTTTTATTTGAAACTTCAGGTTGTGTCTCCCAGCTGTAACGATGACGTCACAGTGAAAAAGGACCAGTGTTTAGTTCGATCCTTTGCAGATTCCAAATTGTAAGTAATAGCTTCCTTTCATTAGATGTATATGGGAGAAAAATGCAACAGTAATTACATATTGCTTCTGAAGACATTATATTTCTTCCAAAAGGAAAGGGTACAATCTTGTGTATTGTTCGTTGTATGCATCTGTCATTCATAGTCCATTTCCAGCTAACTTCTTCTGTGCTTACTCGCCTACCCTTACATTGTGTGTACAGATAGAGTTCACTGGATTAATACAGTTTCTGGTGTTTCTTCATTTTAGAAAAATCAACAACTTTGGGGGAAAAAACCCCAGGTGTTAACACTTCAGATTATTCCTGTTCTTTGAAGTGGGAGTTTTGGTTCTAATTATTTCCCTTAATGTCTTAATTATTACATCTTTATGGGTGTCTGTTGTAGTAGTTTGGATATCTGATTGACTCATTAATTCCAGTGCCCAGATGTCCGTGGCTGTTTAAATAGCAAAGTTTAGAAGTGTTTAATCTACTGGTTTTAATAAAAAAGTGATTGTAAAGTAACTGTTTAATGAAAATTTTTACAGAATCTGAACCAAGATTCCTGTGAAAATAAAGAAAGATCCTCCTAGTCCACCCCCCCGGAAAGGGGGAAGAGGAGGGGAGACAGAGATGTGTGTCCTACTTAAGGAATAATATATTCAAAAGAATACAAAGACTGTTGTTTAAAGCTGTTTCCCTTTGTTTCTCTTTATCCTTACTTAACGCATCTGTCTCAGCATATTGTAACTAAAAACTTCCTTGCCAAAGGCCAGCTGTCACCCCTCTTTCTCTCTTGCTTTCAAAGTGAACAATTTGTGATTTTTAATAACCATGATTATGAGTAGGATGCGAGTACTTGATTACTGAAATGTATTTCAAGTAACTGAAGACTTAATTCATTTTGGCCTCTTAAGGTAGACGTGTATCATCAGCCTTCTAGAGAAATCTGGTTCTTTATATCCTGAAGGTAGAATGTTATTGGAAAAGCATGCAGACTTGCTCTGTTTTACTTTTTTTTCCCCATAGTATTATGGCTTTAACTTCAGAAAATGGCGGCCTCCAATTCCTGAGGTTTTACTCCAGTTTTTCTGAAATAATGAAAGAAGAAAAAAAATCTTATTCTAATAACTCACTTGTAAGGCTTTCCTTGCAGGTTGGTTAGCATTTCTATTGTAGTAATTCAGTAACTGAATATTCAGTATAACTTTACAACAGAGCAGCTTCCATATATTTTGCTGTGAGAACACTTCTGTAATTTAAAAATAAAAATCAACTATTTATTAATGCAGATACGTGAATTTGGCTTCACTGTTTGTGCCAACAGAAATGTATTTTGAAAGAAACAAGCCCTGTATTTTCTTCTTAGCTAGAGTGCTGTTTTAGGTAGCAATTGTTGATTGATCTGAGGATTTTCAATTTAGAAAATGTTTTTTGCCTATGCAGAGTATTTTACCTTCGCAAATTTCTGCAGGTTAAACATTTAAAATAAAGAAGCTTTACAAACTTTTCTTAATTGTTTAATTACAAGGGTTCTTTTAGTGTCTGAATTTCAAAGGAAGATTGGAAACTTATTCTGATTTTGAATCGTGCATTAGGACCTACAACAACAAATGCCTTATGCATTTGGTTGTTGGAAAGAACCTTGAAAGTGAATGATAAATCTTGCAAATTTTAGAAATCGCTGCTTTTCTAAGTCAAATGCTTGCTTTACTGTGATTTAAAAATAATAATGGAACACTATTCTTTTTCAGTTACTCAGTAGCAAGAAAAGACATTAAAGAACTAGATGTTCAAAACTTACCAAAATCTGAGTCCTCTCCTAAAAAAGGTAAATTAGAATAAATTCTAGGCGTTTATAAAAAGTAATCTCGGGCAATAGTACTTTTAACTTGCAGATAAATGATGGCCTGTTGATTTCTGATAATTGCTCTTGGATATTTCGCAAACAATTTTAAATGTGATAAATAAGAGAAACTTTGGGTATAGCTGCCTTATTATTAAAATAGCACCGAGTAGAAGTGTTGTTTATTTGATTTTTATTTCCTTCTTCTGATCCACTCTAAATTCATGGAAAATGAATAGAATATTTTCAGGTAGAGTATTTGAAATGTCATTGAACAATGGAATATATGGTTACCTCTCCTAAAACCGAAGTTTTTTGCTATTGCTCAAAACTTTTTGCCTTTACCTTAAAAATACTCAGACGGCAAGGTGTAAACTTCATTAGAACAGCCTGCCTGTGATTAATGTTTGATTTAAAAGTATAATTACAGAACTTGATTTCTGGACGGATGGATGATGTGGCTACAATAATCCATCTTTGTAGTAAGCTTATAAAAGGCCAGATTCTCACTTTACGTAAATAATTTTTAAACTTACAGTGTTGTTTCTCCCAATTAGACCTCAAAACACAAAATTTGTTAAGGAGAAATAATTAAAATGTATTTATTAAAAAAAGAGGCAACAAAACCCCCCCACTCAACAACAACAGTTCCTCCAGTTTGAGTAAAGGTGTGGAACAGCTCCTTAACAAGTAAAGATTTAACATGATACTCACACATGAGAGCTTGAGGCAGTTTTGGTTGCTTCGTGTAATTCTGAATGATTTCACATATACTTTCTTCTTAATAACTGTTTCACAGTACAAGAACTTTAGAATAGGCAAAACCAGGTTTAAGATAAATTGAAGAAAGAGATTTTTTTTCGTGCAGAATGTGATTGGGTTGTGACATTCATTCCCATGAGGGAATATTGTGGAACCGAAGGTACTAATGGTTTCAAAAAGAGTTTCGACAACTTTCTGGACGTTACTGTTGTCAGCAGTTATTAAAAACTGGTGCCTTTTTTTCTCCAGCAGCACAGTGAATGGTTCATTGCAATGTGTCCCTCTTTTGGGTATTCTGATTCCTCTTTATTAAAGTTTATTATTGTGTCTAGGGGGCATGTTTCTTAGGGTTAGCTGGGTTTGTTTTGCTTGGTTGTTTTCCCCCTTGGAGCACCTCTTCAAGGAAAAGAATTCGAGGTATTCCCATTGCACAACTGTGACTTCTCCCCATCCCATTACTCCCTTACTCATTAGTGTATTTTTCCTCTGTTCCAAACATTAATGTAACATCTCTTTAGGCAGTGCTCTTAAACAAAACATCTGAATTTTATTTGCAATCTAAACTTTAAGACATGAAGATCTTTTGAAAAGAACAAAGGAGGTCATGGTACTTGATGTAACTGATGGGTCTCCGGTTTTTAAATAGCTTTGTTACAGGATTTGTCTCTTTCATACAGAAACAGAACAGTTCACAGTTGCATAGAATATATGTGGCTAAGTACAGGTGTTTACAGTTTGGTACTGTTTACATACATAGGTGTAAATCTTAGCAGTGTTCATGGGGACCCATGTGTAGAAAAACAACTGGATGCTGTGTGTGGGATGGATGTTCTCAGCTCTAAACTTCTTGAGTTACTGATACTTTGGTTTTAAAGATTAAGTCTACACACTTTACATTTCAAGACTGTCAAAAGTTTAAAATCAAGTATCTGTTTTATCACGTATTTCCATTTTTGGTTTAAGTTGGCGTTGTAATTTACAAGAATGTGAAAAGGAAATTAAAAATGCTTTGTGACTGCAAATGCTGCGGATGAGGTAAAACCAGGGCCCTTTCTTCTGTAGGGCTACAGGAGGCCAGCATGTTTCTCAACACAAAGGGTGTTCCTCGGAACTGGAAAATGGACATAAGTGAAATTCTGGAGTCCTCTAGCAGCGATGAGGAAGATGGAGCTGCTGCAGAAACTGATGAAGAGGAAGAAAAAAGAGAAGAGAAAACCGAAGAAGTAGTGGTAAGTCTGGGCAATTTCAGTCCTTCTCCAAAGATAATTGAGTAACTTGCATGCCTGAAGGTCCTGCACTTTCCAACATTTTACTCTCAGACGTAGGTTACTCACTTCAACATCTTTCAGACCTGTTCATCTTCCCTTTGCTACAGCCGTCTTCATTGGGATTTGTGAGCAGTGGCAGATTGCCTCCTATTACCCAGTGCAGAAATTGGAGACAAATCTCAGAAATTAAGAATTCAAGGCAGAGAAGAGTGATAGAAAGAATCTGGGTCAGAAGGAGAGACATAACTAAAAAAATTGATGCTGAGCCTAATAGTAAACCAACCTTAAATAAAACTTTGTATTTTTCTTTTGTACTTTATGTGTAGCTTATATAAAAAGTAACTTGTTTCTGAAAACAGTAGTTTGTTTAAAAAAAAAAGGACAAACCATTAAAGTGGAAGCAGTAGGCTGACTGAAAGTATGAGATGACGCACAGTGCCTAAGATGCTATTTAAGAGCAGTCCAGGATTTACCTTTGTAACTGTTAGGTTTTTCTCAACAGCAGTATTACCGGTTGGGAATCATAGAATGATATAGAGTCATAGAATCGTTAAGGTTGGAGAGGACCTCTGGGATCATCGAGCCCAACCTGTTAACCTAACTGCGTGGTCTACCTCTAAATGGTGTCCCTAAGCGCCGCACCCACACGGTTTTTGAACACTTCAGGGACTGTGGTTGCACCGCGTCCCTGGGCAGCCTGTTCCAATGCCTGACCACTCTCTCCATGAAGAAATTTTTCCTAATATCTAATCTAAATCTCCCTGGCACAACTTGAGGCCGTTTCGTCTTGTCCTGTCGCGTGTTACTTGGGAGATATGCTACGGCGTGGATGGACTTTCTGTCTAATATTTACAGTAAAATGTTTTTCTGCATTGGAATACTTTGAGTGGCTTTTTTTCCGCAAAGTTAGCCAGTGTCTTCATGTCATCAAAAACGTATTTACAGAATTGCCTATTATTTCTGCTACCTGTTTTTAACCTCGATGTTGTATTTAGAAGTGTGTGTGTGTGGGGGGGGTGTTGGTTGTGGGATTTGTGTGGTGTGTGGTGGTTTTTTTTTTTTGGTGCGATTTTCACAGTACGCTCGGAAACGAATATTCCTTTCTTTCCATAGACCAAAAAAAAAAAAAAAATACGAAGTGAAGTTAGTCTCCCGAGGAAGGTCAAACCCCGTTTCCCTTTCCCTTCCCCCGCCGC